ATTGCTTGAATACTGTGTTTTCCCTATCGCCACTCCCACATATATATATATATATATATATATATATATAATAAACCCCATACTCATGGCCGTAAAGTCATACAGATTTATAATTTTTCTCATTTTGCGAGTGCCGCTGGATCGAGAATAATTCTCTATAGGTTTTGATAAAGATGTAAATATTGACAATATAATTGAAAACGATTAATTGTGTGTATACCGGTACTATATATACGATTTTGGCTCGTCTTCCGATAACAGTGAATAAAAATTTTTTGCTATATAACTACAGGTTGTCCTTGTGTACTCTGCTAATGTAACAACACTACAACAACAAGTACAGGTTATCATTGTGATCATTTAAAATACTTATTATTTATATTTAACTGTATAATGTTTCAATAAATGTTAATTGTAGGTACTATCTAAAATTGAAAAGCAATTAACCGAAAAATAATGTAAACAATCGTTTAATGTGGTTACCGATGATTAGTTCACATCCCTAATCACGTCGCGACGACAACGTACAATTTGGGCTCTTATTTGGTGACGACTATAGTGTAGTATTTTCACAAAAAAAGAGATGAATAGTATGAGTATTTAAAAAATCTCTTACTAGATGTCACTAGCGGCGACGAATGCCGAAAGTCGGTACAAAGACATAACAAAAATATAGAATTTCGACGACTCGGTAACTGGACCCGTGACTCAGTAGTTAGAGCAATGCTACGGAGCAGCATGGACGTAGCTTCAAGTCCCACGGCGTCGACGAAAATTTCTCTGTGTGATCGATCTTTGTATTCATAATCATAACAAAACTATATTAAAATCTCAATAAGTATTTGAAAAGTAGTAAAAACATTATGATATTCAATAACGATAATACATAATAAAGCAAATGTTTGCACACGCACATAATCATCACGTTTATCTAGGAAAATATGTAATTACAAGTAAATTACGACACTCGACTTTGTTGCCAAGCACCTGAGAGGTAGAGAGAAGCAGAGATGGCTAGTCGGATAATCGAGTAAGGCGAAAGACTGTCCCATGGTGTTGGTTGATATTAATTGTCTGGCTGTGTTGCCGTTTAAACTATTGTTTCTACTATATGCCAACTTTTGAGTCTTGTTGTGTTGGCGACTTGCATCGTACCATTCTTCGCCGTATATAATTGTTTTCAAAATTATAGTTTCATTTTTGCACGTTCCAAAAAAAAAAAATTGAGTTATGTAACAAAGCAGAGTTAACATGCTGTTTAAACAACTGTTTCTACTATAATATTATCATCTGTATTACCGGGTATTTCGCATGCCGCGATTAGCCTGTTACTGGACATATAACTACGCGAACTATAGAAGAGTAAAGATTCTATCTACAAACTTCCAAAATTTGACATGATGACAAGATAAATAAATAAATAAATACGATTTAGAAAATGCGTAAATATGTAGCAAAACTAATATATGCCTCGTATGAAAGGACCTTATCTTAAAAGTAATAAGATTGATAATTATTCCTTCATAATCTTATTAACTTTATTCAGGAACTTCAAGATTACGAGAAAAACGGTGATGTGAAACTGCATCTGGCGTTCTCACGAGATCAAGCGCATAAGGTGTATGTCACTCATCTTCTGGAGCAAAACATGGATCAAATTTGGGATATCCTTGGCAACCGGAACGGGCATTTCTATATTTGCGGGTAATCTTTATTTTTATATTGATAACAGTCAGTCAGTTGTATTAATTTTATAAAACAGCTTTTATTTTTTTTAATCAATTTAGGTTCGCCAATATATATATTGCATTGTCGAACTTAAATTGATAATATATACATATTATATTATATATTCATATACAGGATATCTATTATATATTCTTATAAATCTTTGTAACGTCATATCTCATACGTACTGATTGGTAATGAAAGGAAAAACACGTAGTTTATTATAATACCAAGGATCATAACTATTAAAATTTGGATGGTGACTATAAAATCCCGTATTGACTGTGCATATTTTTTTTTCTTTGTTCTCAAATTAATGAATAAATAAAATTTTGTTCAACAGTGACGCAAAGAACATGGCTGTGGATGTGCGGAACATAATACTGAAGACTGTACAAGTGAAAGGCGGCCGCACCGAGGAGGAGGCAGTGCAATTCCTCAAGAAGCTCGAGTCCATGAAGAAATATTCTGCAGACGTGTGGAGTTAATTCCGGATTTTAATTTAGTTAATTTGTCAAAATGTAGACAATTGTTAATTATTTAATGAAATATTAATATTATGTCGTGTATGTCGCAAGTTTTGGGTACAACTATTCCATTCCAAACAAAAAAAAGGAAATGTACATTATAATTTTGTAGCCACCATCGCGTTTGCGATTGTGTCGTATTCTTGACGTAGTCTACAGGGCTATATTTGTTACAATATGTAAATAGTTCTTGAAGATTGTACGCTCATATTTACAAAATTTGAGAAAAACAATATTGCCAATGTAACTTGATATTTTTCTAAAAATTTGGAATCGAAACTGTTTTATTCGCAAATGCCTATTTAATTGAAGAACGTTAGCAGTGTTCATTTTATAGAGCGCTCGTGGCATTGTTTTTTAGAACGGTTAACAAGTCTACAGCGTCACAAAATATACATTACGAATTGTAGAAAGGGTGATGTGTTATTTTTATATCTAAAAATAACTTTCATCTTCGAATCGTTAACAAAATATCTATTATTTTACCAATAATAGAAAACTTGAAACCTAGGACGTTATCGTTAACGAACTGTTATGAATTTCTTTTCCGTGTTACAGAACAAGTTTTTAAACTTGTAATGTTATAAAGCCATTGTCAAGTCGTATTTGTTTTTAATATGTAAATGGTTGTTGCTGTTGTTGGTAAATGTTTTACGTAAGTGGACTGGGCAAATAAGTAGAGATATTAGATTTAGTATAGATAGTTAAACATTGTAAGTTTTATATTAAAGAGTTTTATGTAAAAGACTGTTTCTATGATCATAATCCTTCCTAAACGGTAAATGTTAATCACAGCAAAGGAAGAGTCAAAAATAATGTTAAATGAAAAATAAATTGGATAAGCAATATAGAACAGTAAAAAAAAACATTTTTATAACGATAATTTATTGATTTAACCGCAAATATATTAGTTTATATACAATAGGGACGTCAACAAAATGCAAAAGGAGAGCCAGCTGTTTGTTTCAGTTCAATACACTCTTGATTCATATCAAATTTTACTATTCAAACACGTTATATTTAAAAAAAACAGCGGCTACGTTGTGAAAAATATCCCACGTAGCACCAGCGATGACGCTTGCTACTGAGTCACATAGGTACTAATATTCCCTAATGCCATGTTCACTACACAATACGCATACAAATCAATCGCTAAAAGACAAACCGTTATATATTCAAAATACTGAATTTACTTTAAAAACTTCAAAATATTAAATTGCTTTAATCACTACTTAAAACTCTCTATTATGTATGTACACTAAATTAAAACTACGAATTCAGGATAATTTATCAACTTGCTCATTATAATAACATAAAATTTTACCACAAAGTTTCATCAATAGCTGACAAATTCAAAGCTGATTTTGGACAATGCCATCTGTAAGAGAACAAAATCCGTAATATTCTAGTCAATGAGCTGTTTGGTGGTTAACAAGATGGCGGGGAACCGTACGGAATAAGACATTTGAAAAGATGGAGGCATGTGTGAGCAGTGGAACATAAAGAAACACGGTAGAAGGTAAATCTGGGGTAGCACGCAATGTTCCCAGCCACCTTATTAAAGACGCGGAAAAGGAAGCATACCAATACAATTTTACCTTCCATGGAAACAATCACTGAATATTGTACTTCTTTTATACAGCTATTTAAGTTTATACAATAAATTCTATATTACTATACATTGTCAGTCATTCTTTAATTACACAACAAAATTAAGTATTCGTTTTTTATTACGTAACGTAAATAAAATACTTCTTTGTCACAGCCCACTACGGCGACGTGACAGTACAATTGCATTAGCACGCAACAATGGAACGAGGAGTCAACTAAACCTTTATGTGACAAATAATATTTTACATACATTGTACAAATGTGGAAGTCAACAGAACGAGTCCGTTTTTAAAGGCACATTTTTCAAGGCAAAATTGCCAAGATCTTGTTGCAATTTATATTTGTTATCAAATATAGCAAATTAGATGTTCGTAATCATATGACGCCGAAATCATAAATGATTGGGCAAATTTGGCACGTTAATCCGATACAAAAAAGTATTATCGTTCAACAAGTAGGAAGCAATACCTGGAATCAATATAACGAAATGCAGATGACAGTGTTTACAATATAATGAGCATCCTGAAACTCTTACTTTAAACGTCACTACACAATAATAGCTATAACCATAAAATAAAGAAATTGACCTCTTATCGGTGCCGCATAATTATATTAAAACCTTAAACTACGAAACGCAATCTGTAATATAACTCTACGCATTCATAGTAGTTCAATCATAAGCGTACCGTAAATTCAGTGTTCCAGTTGTGGGAGCTTAGAAAAAAATCAATAAAAAGAAGCAAAAATAACATCACAATTTTAAGGAGCTCTACTATAGTAGTATGAATGTACGTTAGTATACTATTTTCGTAATTAACTACTTACATTAAATGGGTCACCATAACAGATACCAGTCTGATATTAAACGTTAACACTCATGTACCGCTGCAAACTAAGTCTAAACTGAAAGGTTTGTTACGAAACGCAACGTTTATTAAGAGCTACAAGTGACAATCCATACAAAGTAAAGTGAGATAAAGAAGAATGCACTTCATAACGCGAGGTCGCACTTCGTAACGCCTCATCGCACTTCGCAATACGCAAGCTTCAGTAGGGTAGCGAGTCTTGTATTAGTGGACGTAATGTCAATCGAAATGCAATCCCATATTACTAGACAGCGTCGATAAAGCTAATGTCGCGGGTACAGGCGGGGAGACAGGAACCCGGCGTCGCTCACGAGTCCGCGGGCACGTCCCACTCCGCCAGGCCGCGTTCCACTAACTCTCTATTCAGGAATATAACTTGCTGTAATCAACAAACATTTACCTTTCGTTAGAACATAGTTTCCCAAAGTGGTCCCTGCCCAGTGGGCGCTGATGAGTTCTAGGGGGCGGTAGATGGCTCGGAAGCAATTGGGGGGCGTTGATGCTGTCCGGGGTTGCTACCGCATTTGAATACTAAAAATCCTGATTATCTATATAAACTACACTAGAAATATATATTTCTTTCCTTGCGATTTTTTGCATTGATATAAAAAAATACGTGTTTTCAATTATTTTTTGTTGTGGTGAGTGTTGATTATTGACACGTTAATAGGGTTCATCATCAACTCGTTTATACGTCCCACTGCTGGGCACGAGTTTCCTCACAGGGGCGGTTTTAGTTTGGTTTGGTTGGGGACTTCACACGTTTTCCGAGGGTTGTGTATCTTCTTCGACGTGCATGTTTTGTTTCACCAAAAAGCTCACGGTAAATTTCAAATTAAATTTCGAGAATCTCAAGTTGCGAGTCCGGATTCGAAACCACGAGGCGGCAGGTTAAACCATTAGAATACCACGGCTTTGGGGTTAAACACATATAAATAAATTAACGAAAGTAGATATCTACAGATGTGTTTGTTTGCATATATTGGTGAATCTGCACATGGTAAGCCTGGCTACATACTGATTAGTTTTACTGAGCTTCCAGTCTCGCTTGTGCAGATTAGTCATTTGCCGAGAAAGAAGGATACTTAGTTTTTGTTCACAGCTATTCATGACCAGGATCATAAACAACGTGATGGATATGTTTTTTTTGTCTTCGAAAAGGGACTTCCCTATACAACATCTAATAGAATATTCTCGTGTAACGAAATTGGAAAAATAATTTTTAGACGGCGTGTGCATTCTATTCATTAAAAAATCACATCAACTTTCGATAATCCACCTATAATAATAATAATCATTTTATTCTCTCCAACATATACTCACATACAATTTTAAAAGTACATTCAAGTGAGAACTTAATGGGAGACTGGTGCCCAAACTCGGTAGACCCTGTCTTGGGATACCAGGTCTCCGACCCAGAACAATACTTATCAATTTGTGAACCTTTACACTATCTATGTGAAATCTTAGTGGTGCTACACCATACACAAAATCGTTTGCACAAGAGTCACAAAGCGATGAGTGTTTTAGTAGTCTGTTCACAAATGATACGAGATAATACTGACCTGCGGATTTAGAGTGAGGTAGAGGTGTACGAGCGGCAGGCCCGCCTCGTCGTAGCCGGCGACCTGCGCGTGCAGAAGCTGCCCTGCCGTCAGGCCCGCCATGATGCGGAGAGCCTCGCCGCTCCACTCGGCTTCTGCAAATTACCACGACCACCGTTAGAGTAAGAATTTCTTACCGTTTTGTATAGTGCTTACTGCTGTAATAAAATAACGAAATTTACATAATTTCGTAAGGACCTTAGCTTTTGTGGCAAAGGTCTCTTTATATTCGCCTCTTTTTACACTTTATTGCATTAAGTCAAATGTATTTAACTTTCAGTTCTTTCCTAATCAAAATTTTGTATAAGTGGAATCATTATAAACTAAATTATTGAATGAGAATGAACGGTGCTTGCTACAGTAATTTGATGTACATGTTAATTTCGACATGGATTCACGAGCAATGTACTACTAATTATATGTTTTCTGTAAAACTTCACCTCTCTAAGTAACAATAGGTTCTTAATGAGTGTTACAAAATGTAATTAAAAGGCTTGTTCAACATAATGTCAATAAGTTATGATAAGCTAATCCAGTACTCATTGAAATCCCCGAAACGTCATATCACATGGATTTAAATAATAATTTGGATGATAAACGATAACATAGCGTTAAAAAACATGTCATTTAGTGTCTGGAAATAAACAATAACTAGATAAAATAACGTCAAGGCAAGCGTGTTATTATGTTTTCGGGTTATCACCCGATGGCCAAAGACGTGTAGTTAAATTTGTACCTATAAGGTCATGGTTTTGCAGGAAATAAGATGTGACAGACTTAAGATGATATTTACATGTAATTAAACCTTATAGCGCGGCCGTGGCGAGAACTGTATTTAAAGAGAATATAATGTTTTATTAATGTTAATGTTTACTATCACTAATATCAGGTTTCTTACCACGGTATGACTTCTTTTTATTTTCCCGATATTTCGGAACGGTTGCACGGTTCATGGTCACGGGTTAACTCAGTTGAGTCAACCGTTCCGAAATATCGGGAAAATAAAAAGAAGTCATACCGTGGTAAGAAACCTGATATTAGTGATAATCATTTAGTGAATAACCACGAAAGTCTTAAAATCTAAAATGTCAATGTTATTGCTATCTTTAAACAGAAGACTGAAGGAAACAATTTAATATAGCGCAATGAAAATAAACTACGTATTACGATTATGAATTCGGTTTGATATGTGGCATTCAATTTCAATCATTAATATATATTCAATTTATTAATTGAAATTGAATTATTCAGACAATAAATAATTTTAATTATATTCAAAACTGAAAAGAAAAAAACAGACAATATGAGTATAGAATTTTCCCGAATCTGATAATGTGTATTAGAATGAACGTACGAAACGGCGAAGTTGGTGAGCAGTTTGTAATTCTATATTGTTAAAAATAAAATGGTAAGGAAAGTTTTATAAATGCGATAAGATATTGATTGAAAACACAGACTTGAATAAAAATAAGGTAACTACAGACAAGCTGTGTCAAAAATGAATAAAATTTATTAAGCATTGTTCGTAAAGCGGATTATAAAATATATGAAAATAAATGAAAATTTATAAACCATTATTTGCTGGTTTCACGAAGGCCAAAACTGCTTCTGTTGCCTGGAAAGGCAGAGTCATGAAATCGGAGCGGATCTGCTTGAGCTGATCGTTGTCGACGGTGAGGTATCCACCAAAGTCCACCAGCTTCACGACTGACGTGTCATTTTCTTCCGATGTGGAGATCACTTGCGCGCGATACCAATTGTTCTCTGTAGGCGCTGCGCATATGGAACCCTCTGGAAATGATAATAGTGCCTAGTGATTTCAGTTTACAATGGCTAAATTTACGTTAACCATCGGCACGTTACGGCAACAATAAAAATGTAGGTTAAAATCGTTACAAGAAATAACAATTTACAAATTGCCTTATGGCACAAGTCTTGAGATGGTCAAAAAGTTTATTCCTAAAAATTTCACAACTTGCGTCATTGAATATAAACATGTTGTAGAAAAAAGCTAAATTGTCATCATTATAATGATTTATAAAAAAACACAACAGGTATTTTACTTGTCCACAAAATTATGTGTGGTTGGCGCGAATGATGGATGAGATAATAACCGTTGTTAGATCGCCTATCGGCCACAAACTTAGCTAAGCACTCAAATCGGCAAAAAATTATCGCGTGAAACGCTTTTATCTTTAAAATTCTGTTGCTACAAAGTACAGAGGACTAAAGTTACTACAATATTAAATTTAAAATTAATCTAAAACTTGTCCTATCAGACTTCGGCGCAGTTGTACAAAGCGACCTAATTAAAGGACAGGTTTGGAAAGGTCACGGTTACCTTTCACAGGGCGCGGTAGAGACGGAACGTCCGGATTCTGATATGTGGTGGCCATGAGACGATGCAGCACGTGCAGAGAGGGGAAGGTTGGGTGAAGTGGTTGCTGCAGGAAGAAATGCCCGGCGCTCACCAGACACGTCATTATCGTGTCATTATTCACCGACTCCACCAACTGCAACTGTCGTATCAGCATACAATGCTCAAATATTTGTCCATATGCAAATTGATGATATTATTATGAAAAAAACAACATTATGTAACATATTGTCACGTTGTATTAATATGAGTCACCTTGTCGAATGAGAACATGGTAATTTCTTTGTAGTGTGACTATTATGATTTTACTTGGACAATAAAGCACATTTGTAATTAGAAGGCATGGAATGTGATTATTACAAACCATATTATGTGTGACTACGTATTTCTGTTGTTTTTAAAAGTTCCACTAAAACACTACAATTAAGTTATGGAATTCTAATCCCTGGCTTATCGAAAATAACATTCATTGACTATGTTGTCACGTTTTATTATCGTTGGACGACTGTCGTGTCTAGCCTGTTCCCATATCACGACTATCTGTCGTGGACGACTGTTTATCGTTGAACGACTGTTGTGACTAGCTGTTCCCACTAGATCGTGACGACAATTTATCGTTTCACGACAGCCTCCTTGCCCATCTCTGGCTACGACCCAATGCTACTGCAAAGCGAGTAGAGGGCGCGGGGTACGAGAGGGGAGGGCAGGGAGCAGAATACGTGCGGACAGCGATAAATAAAACGTGACGACAATAGGAGCTGCGACAATCTGTCACGTTTTTATCGTCACGTTTTTTTATCGTCTGACGACTGTCATTCTGGCTGTTCCCACTGAGACGATTAATAGTGTCGTACTATATGTGAACAACTTCATTTAAATATACAAACTACGACACTGTAAGCTGCACGACTATCTGTCGTCACGACATAGTGCGAACGCGCCCTGACTTGTTGGCATTTAGTATTTATTGGGCTCTACATAATTATTTTAGTGTTACAACTATAAGTATTTTTAAGATTTTTTATGCAAAATTGTATTTTCTATGAAACTTACATAAACTTTTCATTTAAGATACAAAATTGTTATCAGTGTTTGAATACTCACTTGTAGGAACTCTGGTACTAAAGGGGCAAGTCTTTGATATAATTCTGCACTAATTTCTTGAAGAGAGAAATTGGGAAATCTCTTTTCTGGGAACTTCTCTCTTATCATATCTAAAGCTGCTTCGATTTCACTTTGAGTACCTGGAATTCGAAAATATATTCTCTCAAGGTATTCTGTGGATGGTTGCTCGCACAAATTTTATTTTATGAAGTTGATACTTCACCTTCAACTGCGCATATTTTTTGTTTAATAGAGTCAGGATGTCTTCTAACATAAACAATTGCACCAGTTTTGGCTTTAATTTGTGTAACAAAAGAGCCATGTTTCCCTATCAAAAGACCAACCAGGGTCTGGGGTATTACAAATTGGTGTATTCTCAGTGCTGTTTCAGACGGAACCATGTTTATGTTTGCTGGTGGGGGGCTGGCTGCCTCTGAACATCCTTTGCCACTATCACTTGAACCCTGAAATAAGTTTGATTGCATTTCAATTATTCAAAATTTTGTTACAACAAGTTTGAGCAGACAATTGTGAACTTACCTCACTGTGATTATCTGAGAAATGACACATTGATGGACTAGCTAACATAGGGTCCACAGGGCTGTGGTTGGCAGAATCTCTTTCTGATATACGTCTACGTTGTGTTGCAGAGAAACAATTATTATTATTACCACTCTCTTCATTATTACTAGGTATTTCGACTAAATTATCATTATCATTATTTAATTCTTCAGTATCAGCTACTGTAATCTCATCATTTGTTATATTTTCAAATGGTGTACTGTCAAGCTGTGTTCCATTCTTTTCATCAGAGGTATCATTAGCGTCAGTAGAATTGACAGATATAACATCAGTTTCACTCTTGCTGCATGACATTTCAGTTTTCAGGGAACCAAACATATTAGGTGTCTCTTTTACAACAAATGGGGTTTCTGGAATGTCGGTTTTGACCACCAAATGTTGATTTTCAAAGCCAGACATTTTCTTGTCTTTCTCTAAGGATTTTTTTCTAATAATCTTTTCTATTTCTAGATCAACTTCTTCATCTGTCAATTCAAGTGGTGAAGAGCGTTGAGAGGCAGTCCCATTGGGAACAATATCAATAGGAGCAGATTTAATGATGAAGTGCTCTGCCTTACCCAACGGGGATACTCTTCTAGCCTCAAACTCAGCATTAAGGACTTCTGCTAGTTCTTCTTGTAAACTTTTTATTTTTTCTCTTCCCCCTGGGTCAGATTTGGCAAATTCCCTCTTTCGTCTGAACCAAAAAATTCCCAATAAAACTGCTATGGATGGCACAGACCACATAAGTACTTGACGACAAGGGGCCATTGTAATAAGCCACTTTTACAAAAAATCTACAACAAAAAAACCGATTAGGAAGACTACATGATACATGCTACATGTGACTTTACATTCTACTTTAAACCATGTAATTTATCATACAATACAGTTAAGTTGAATAAAGTGCAGCTTCTTATATAATAATACATAAATATTACATCTGACAGTAAACAGATACCTGAGATCAAGAAAAAACCAAATTAGAGAAAAACACTGTCTTAATAATGCCACATTAAATATAATGGAATGAGTTTGAAACTAGATAAAACAAGTCACGAAAAACAGATGTTAAGACAGTCTTTTTTTTGACCCAGTGACACATTAAAGCAGCACCATATTTGTTAAAAAGAAAAACTAATACGAACATATTGTGTACACAAAAAAAGCCCCAAGCTAATTCCTTATCATAATTTTAATCAAGCTGAGCTACATAACACGCCTATTATAAAAACCACAAAATTTTTTACTGTGTAAAATAAAAAGATTGAATCACGTTAGAACATAACCTTTACGTAAATAAAATTAGTAAGTTATATAGCAAAATATAATGGAAGTAAATTACTTGTTGAAAACATTGCTAGCGCACATAAAATGGGAAACACCCTTCTTAACCCCTAATTAAAACACAATGTGGAAAATTATCCAGCAGGTTGTGATTGTTACAACAAAAGTAAATACCCCAAAAATTTGCAACCCATATCAATCTAATAATTTAAAAAATTAACACTTGACCTACTTACTTGAAATAGTTCCATTTTAAATAAAATGCTATTAAACTTTTATTTTACACTAGCATCACATGGATGAAAAGAACCTTCACTTATTATTAGGTTATTATTCTTGTAAGATTGGTGTTTATTTATACAATAACAAAAATATAACACACTGAAAACTAACAAAACTAAGAACAGAAATGGGTACAACTCTCCAAGGTTTATGAGAAATTTGTAATTAGCAAGAGTAATTTAACATTTCGGCCACGCGCCGGAACCGGGCGAGAGATAGTCGCACACCGCTCGAGGCAAGCATGGGCCACGAATCTATACCGCTCGCCGCCGATCACTATCACTTCACAGCTGCAGACACGTCTACAACGCAACGTACGGCCTGTCACGCTGGAATACCTTCGCTACATGTGCTTCCACTTTGGGCGACTATTTTTTGTGATACGTGGACCGGTGAGGGTCACGAGCGATGTGCAGACCCTAATGGGCAACACGTAAGCAATCGAAGAATTATAAAAGAAAGGTTACGCAATTTTAGGTATGCCGCGATTGAATCCAAAATAAGGCCAGAATAAAATTTCCAATGTTTGCTCGTGGTCGTTTATTTATTTAGGTGTGATTATAACGTAATGGCATCGTGACCTACGATCCAACGTCTGAACTCCATGATCCAAAAGTAAAATTTGTCGCCGGCATAATAATAAAGCGTACTTACTTTGATATCCAACAAAGAATGTTTGCACTTGAAAGAGAAGAAAGAAAAACAAGCCAAAATAATATGTTAGCTGATATTACTATCAAATTTCGCTCAATAAATTATAATCCAACAATCCACGTGCTCACAATGTTTTCTCACGAAGCTCAAAAAAATTCAACATGGCGGCCGACATAACCGTACTGCAAAGTGCAAACGAGTTCGAATGCGCATGAACGCGCGTACAAGTTGGCAACACTATTAACACTTTAATTTGCAACCCCGAGCACTGTGTCAAAAAAATTGGAATTCGCTCTGGGCATTTTGGAGGGAAAAGTGTCGTTTTTTTATTTTGACTTTCAATTATTTTGTGAAATCTAGTTTAAAGTGGAATAGGATAGTGCTATTGTACCTTAATCGAAGATTAAAACGCGAAATTATACGAATCTCGAACTAAAATACCCGTATCGGCCCGTTCTAAGGAATTCCGAGTCAATCCAAGCACGCCGCCTCAAATTGCCTATCCTCTTTGTAGCGGGCATATGTACAGACTTAGAATAATGTACAGAAACAATTAAACTTCATGTTTAGGCTGATGGCTTTGCCAAAGCCTTAATAATTTAAAAAAAAAAACAAAAAAATTGCAATATTTAATTTTTACGACTTTGGCTTCTTTGAAGTTTAGGTGAATATTCTTGCAAATATCGATGAAAATTTGTTTTATTGTTCTAAAAATTATAAGAGTTAATGCGTGGTTATTGCAAAAAAACACACGCCATGGCAATTAATAAATATTATATAAAATCGTTCAGCGTCAATAATTAGTATAAAGTGAGTTATAAACTATATTAGAAATAAATTATTTTATCATTTAGGGATTACTTTGAGTTTCTAACGCTTGACATCCTTTTTATTAAAATACCCACTAAGATGAATATCCAAGCTTGATTTGCGTGTTTCTATTTTATTTCCTCCACTCGAATACACAGACACCAGTGGCTGCATTGAAGAATAAGCGATACCCATTCTGTCTCTTATGGTATGTTCTTTTCCTTTTGCTTACTGGCGGTGCTTGTTTTAGGATTTCGTCAGCGAATAGCAAGCATTGGTCACGACGCAATATAATACAGTGTTAAAACCTTAGAGGATGGTAAACGTTAGAACTGGCAATGGCAATATTAATGCCGCTGGCATCAGTCAAGGTAAAAATCAACCCATTAAGTCATTCACTTACAAATAAATGGACGACGGGTCTAATACAAAAACCACGAAAAAAATGTCCCAAGTCAACCTATTTAAACGTAGTGACATGTAAAGGAATATGAAATAGCTAAAACGTTGAATTTAAATTGTAATCTCATCGCAGTACTGTCTAATTTGGCTTGCTTCGCTGTCAGTCGAACAAACGAAGACTAAAGCGTGAATGACGCTCTGTATACGATTTTAACGCCCTATAAGTTCGTACACTTTTTAGCGCGGACCTGACGTCCATATAATTGTAAGTGCACTATTCACTGTCGAATATATTGGAAAACGCTAACAATGAATGTTGCCCGTCATAGATCTTGGTACTTTGGACAACCAATGACAATGGGCCACCATCTTATGAGACCTACAAAACGTGGTTGGAATGCTGAGGAAAGACGGTATCAAATTCTGCCAATTGCAGCGTACAAGCTCGAAGTCCAAACTCTCGGATGCGATTCTACGGCTCATGACAAAAAGACGAGAAGTTACTCAGGCGAAGTGTCGTCAGAGCAGTCAGACCTTTGCGAAGATGGTACCTACGGCGTGACTTTCGGAATTCCAATACACGCCTCATTGAGGAGGCGATAGAGCGAAACCGAGGGTTAAGAATATTTAGTCAGTAGCTTGGAAGGAGCCACCTGACGACGCTCAAAACACAGATCGAATCGTAACGTCAAAGCCGGAGATTCTTGATGAGATTGAAAACTTCTATGGCCAACTGTACGCTGCCGCTGCACATGCTCCTCGTGCCCAACGGGACAATCACGATCCCAGAGCCACCCTCATACTTACTACCTATTCTACAGCCAAGGAGTTCCATTTTCAAATATTGTAATTACTTTTTAAATATTGTTTATGTAAGTGGACCATTCCGGAAACTTATAGTGCGCCCTATGTAGAATTAGGTGCTCGTAGGTACGATCGTTCTTCACCCAGGCGGAGAAGCTACGTGGAGCGCGGATTTGGAAACGTGAAATAATAAAGAAATTCAGTCTCATTAAATAAATAATTAAACTAAAACTAAAACACAACAGCGAGCAGAAACTTCTCGAAATGCTTTCCACATAAAAAAATTAAAACAATTGCAAGTGTCTGTTATGTTGCTTTTCTTTTTTTAATTAATCATTATCAATAATATGGCTAATGCGGGCGAACACCCTGTATATGTACCTATAATACTCTTTCAATGAAGTATGAGTACCTATATCATCATCGTTATTGTGATTCTAAAGCAATAGTGCTCTAGAATTGCTGATAAATCAAAATTGAAAGGACTAATCAAATTGCAGAAACAAAAAAACACCGTCATAGTGTTCTATTCATGGTAAAAGTAAACGCAAGAAATCATTAGTAAGTACTTCAGTAACCACTGTAATAAACTACAACAGATTTATGAGTCTCAGTAGCAATTGGGGTAATTATGGTATGGGGTTTCGGTAATAGTCGAATATGCAAGCCAATCACAAACTATTTCGAAACGCTGTGCACAACATTCGGTCCTTGTAAAGCAATATGCAAACCATTCTCAAATACATTAACAAAAGAAACTAAAAACTGCAAAAATTGTTGTGCTTATTGTATTAAACCCAGCTCGGTTACTAAAATGGAAAGGCAGTTTTTAAAAAACAAAATATACGATAATGTTCATTATTTAAGACCTGGGGCTATGTGTGTTGTTAATATTGAAGAGAATTATTTAAAAAACCGTAGACACAAAAAAAAAGCTGACAAGAAAATATGTGATAAAATTGCAAAACAAATGGGAAATAAGAAAAAAAAGGAGATTTAACTTTAAAATACGTAAAGGTAAAAAAGAGTGTAAAACGAAGAGCGCAACAGACATGCGCATATCGCATTGTGATGTTTGTTGCCCAAGATTAGTTTGTACGAGAGTTCGGAGACTATGTTGGTAGGAATTAACCGAAAAACACCATAACTACGAATTCAAACAAGGTTAAAACAAAAAGAGTATAAAAATAAAGGCCGCAAAAGATGAACTTATACTATGATTCGCGGGAACTTCCAATGTTCTGTTTAATATTAAATTACCAAAGGCAAACAAAAAATTGGAGAGAGAGTCCCTAAAAACATCTGCTTTCGAATATAAACTTTGTAAAGCTGACAAAGACTATAAAATGCAAAAAACCGAAACACAGGAAAGCCTTACTGAGAATGGTTTTATATCTTGATATGTCATGTGTTTCGAACGATACAAGAATCAATAAGAGAAAAACTAAACTACTGTGTTGTAGTGCAATCCTCAGCTTCTTTAGTAATATATATCATCTTCTATCTGAGCAGAGACCAGAAAGTAAGTTTCCTTAGAAATGCATTGTTTCAA